CTTTTAATGCAATATCATTCGATAAACATCGAAAAACTGCCGAAGGGAATAAAAAATAAATTTTCAAATATTGCATATTAAATTAGATGGAGCGTTGGAGCTGATTTTAAAATAATTATTTCTCAAAAGTCCAACGCTGTTGAAAGCAATCACAGTGATGAATCAGACATTGGAGGGAAATGCATTACGATTCTGGAAAAACATTTTTCGGCCAAAGTATATTGACGTTGTACAAAGCGTTCAAAGTTGCAGTGTTTACCGTTATCTTGCTACTTCGGCGAAACACTTCTCTGTTGCCAATACGGCCGTGGATAGCGTGGTAAACGCCACTTTAATCCTTGCTAGGCGCTCAGAGACCATCCTAAGTAGAAGGACGTAGAATTAAAAGGGAAAGGAAGATGAAAAATAGGCAGAAAAAGAAAAGAACTCGAAATTACCATCTGCTGACGAAACTTGAATCTGGAAAACGTCGTCGCGTGACAGCGGCCAATGACGTCATTTGTCTAAACTGCAGCGGAATCTAAGCGAATGCACAACTTTTTCCCGGCCAGAAAGTACTTAGTGAAACAATGTTACACTAATGTTATTTTTTCACAAGCGATGGTGACTTAAAAAGAAAAAATTCCCGAACCGCCGCACCGTTTTGGCCCCAGCGTGATCTGATTGTTGTAGGGTCACGAGTCGACGCTTCTGGCCAGCGGTCTATTGAAAGAAATCTGATCCCATCCATTTTTTTATTCGGGCGAGAATAATTCATGTCAATGTCTAATGTCTTCCTTCAAGGAAAAAAAGAGAGAGATATTGGAGTACTGTTGCTCCCGAGAACGAGGAACATCTTGGTCCCGAAAACTGACTTCATTACGCCCAAGAATTACGGTTTTTTTTCCCAAAGGACTAGTATGTGGCGCTATAAAATGTAGCTAACAGATTCAATTCTTGGCACAATGATTAGCCTCGCGTTTAGTATTTTCTTGTACATGAAAATATCGGGGGTGACGCTATTCGGTGGAATGGTGGACTGACGGAATGACGGAACGGAATGATGGAATACATAGAATATTCTAAAATACGGAATATACGGAATACTCTAACACGCAGAATAACAGAAAAATCGTTTAAAAAGGGTATACATGTATACAGTCGACTCCAATGACTCGAACCCTCGCTACTGACTCGAACCTCGTGCTAACTCGAAGTAATACTAATTTTTGTTTCTCTTCAGGTCATTTCTATATAATTTTACCCTCATTAACTCGAACCATGTTTTAAGCGCGTGACAAGTAGAAGAATTGACTTACCGTAATCATTCGATTTAGCGCCCAGGCGCTTATTTACTTTTGGTGCCTCTAGGGAGGACGCTTATTCGGGACAGGGCGCTTATTTCTTTTTTGAGAAACAACCAAATGTTAAAAAAAGAACCTTGATATTTATTTAAAAACGAACAACATTTGAAACTGTAGCAGTAACAAATACTGACGGTGAATGCTCAGTTAACGCGAGGGACTTACCTTGAAACTTGTTGGGCACTTTGTCGATGGAACTTTCCTTCCTTATATTCACCTTTCTTAAAAAAGCTCGCAGTCAAAACAAAGTGCAAGTCGATTAAGGTAATGGATCAAGGAGACTGCAAAACGGACTTTTTGTTCCTGGATCCTTCCTCGCCAGAACGACCAGCCGAGCAATCTCCACAAAATTTGAAGAAGAGATCATTCCTTTGAAGACTTTGAAGACTCTGGAAAATCTAAAGCAAGCGACCGGACAAATTTAGGCACAGGTGCGGCCCCCATTAATTGGCAGTACAATCCTGTCAAGCTTAAGTATACAATTCTTTTTTTTTAGAACAGCCGTTTTATGAAAGTTATCTGACATTAGATTCCCGTGATACCGGACCCTTCACCCGTCAAGATGGCTTTCAAAACCGTCATAAGGTCTATAGTGTGGCTTACGGCAGTACGAAAATTGAATTTTTAATATTGCCTCTGCTTTTTCGTCAGTTCAGTTCAAATCAAATACAGAATATTCTGTAAATTCCGTGTTTTAGAGAATTACGTATATTCTGTATTTTACAACTGATTGCATGTATTCCGCCATTCCGCCGAATAGGGTCACCCAAATATTGGGGAGGACATCATAAAAAAATATAGGAGACCGGTAGGACTTTTGAATCGATGAAAGTGCCTCGCTCATTTTGCAACTTCATTTTATAATATGCTTCATAATTTGTTTCCACAATAATATTTATGATATTTAGATGATAACCAATGCACAACTTACAACTTGTCACATTACCGATTGGACAGCATACCATGCACTCAAACTCTTGCGCAGGAAAGTTACAGAATGAAATTATTTTTTGCTGCACTCAGTCACATTCCTTTACACTTAAACCTCGGCTAAAAGGTCTCTTTTTAGATCTGTAGATTTGTAAGGTATTTTGAATACCCGCACATGTACATGTCTTTCAACACTAACATTGAAAGATGAAAGTTTGTTGCTGTGA